AGGATAGAACTTCGTCCTTTTCCATTCAAACCAGATGGAAGCAAATATATGGGTTGGTGTATCCTTCAGCAGTTCATCGAGATTTGGCATAGCAACCGCAACTTTGTAACTGTTGAGCAAACATTGCAATTACTAAATGACAAAGATAGAGAATATATTTCTACATATATATGAATTTGCAAGAACTTTATTAGGATCAGTACCCATTTTTCACAAAGTTATCTTTGAAGAAATCAAGCTCAATTGTCTCCGAGAAAATAACAACACATGCATTTTGATGATGGGAGAACACACTCTCTAGCCCACGTTGATGCCGAACACCAAACATCCAAGGAGGTGAGTTCCAAACCATAAAAACTCTCTCGTCGCAATTATTTTTCTTGAAGAATGCATCCATAAAACGAGAAAATGATAGATGCGGATGTAGACCAGGATAATAACCCCATCGCTTGCCATCTGCATATATAGCAGGCATAAACCCCAGTTCAGAGCCCCCACCCTTCTTAGGAACCGCTTTATCTACTACATTAGCATTCTCTGTGCTTCTATCTCGTCTCTTCTCATTCTTAGTGCTTCTAGACATTGAAGTCCTATAGGCATTGAAATTCGCATTCCTCTTTGAACTGTAATCTTCATCAATATTGATAACTTCCTTTCTCGAAAGGTCGTTAGCGGAGTGTTCATCTGAAGTCCTAATCTCGTTTATATTTTCCTTAACATTGTCGACTACGTTTATACCAGTGTCGCCACTTAGACTCCTGCTCTTCTTAATCCTTGCGCCCACACTACTGTCTTTAACTTCCGTATTAAAAACTTTCCGCGTAACGCCTAACGGCTTGTTAACAAGAAACGGAACTTTTTTAAACTCGTTCATCCACCATTTCTGCACGATTCGATCGCCTCTGGTTAACGCAGTCACACCCAGACCATCCGGATCTTGCAAAATGGGATTGTTCAGCGGATTCAGGACTTCCCAGTTGGACTTGAACATCCTATCCCTCCTCAAGAAATCGCCCTTCTTATCGAACCAGTCTCCCCACCCATCTCTCAAGGGCGAAACTCTTCCACCCACCTTTAACAAAAGCGCGTCCTCGATCCCAGTCATTTCGCTTGCTTTCCTCCTCACCTCTTCATCAACCGGCACATCATCGGAGGCAAACGCAGCTTTACTGCGATCCACTTCACCTATTTCCACAGGAAAACCAGAATTCTCATCAGACCAATCTTCGATGGAACGTTTGTTATCAAAAACCTTCCTAATGGCCCCGCTAACATGGTCAAAATAAAATCCAGAAACCCTGACCTGATCAAATTGATCTTCGTCCTCTCCCAATTCTTCATCGCCGGCTGCCCTAGAGCGAACGTCCTCATCCACAATGTCGAGCTCGTCGATCTTGTCCTCGTCGGTGGTAGTGGTGCCTAAAACAATATCGCTGTCGTCATCCGAATCAGATACTAGAATGTTGCCTAGGGATTTAGGATACATGTGAGGAGAGTAAGTGTGGGAGTGAGAGTGAGAGAGGCGAGTGTATAGGAGGGAGACTGAAAATAGAAGCAGCAAAGCGGCGGCGAAGGCGCAAAAGTAGGCGCCATAGGGACCACGACGACGGGTCTGAAGGTTCCGCAGCATTTTACAGACAGAAATTGCAAAACTCAGAAGAGAGACGGCATTGGTAAAAGAAGGAGTAGTTCAATCATAGACGGGTTGCAAAGTGATCTGAACTGTGAGTTCTATGGGCGAAGGCCAACCAATATCATTATTGCGCGTTTGTTGCTTTGCTGTTAACAGAGAAATCCAAATCAAATACCTTGATGCCCTAGCTCTGTGTGAAGGCTTAAAGGCAGTTAAAGAATGAAAGCATTGCCCAAACGGACTCCCTTGAACTTGGTGCTGTCGATTTCTCTGAAATCTGCTGGGTTGTCCAC